GAGAAATTACCCATAATATACTAGCTGAATGAATTGCTAACACATTCTTTGGGCATTTCAGAGTCTTCTTTCCGCAAGATGTTGTTCAGAGTTATTGGAAAGATTGAGACAGTAATGTGCAATAAGTAAAAAAAAAAGCTTGATATTCTTAAGGGGCCAATGAATGTCGCCTTGGTTTTATGTTGTCTGGGCATTAATGTTTCCCACAGAGCAAAGCATATTACATTTTCACTTTCTTCCTGAACTCTTTTTTCCCCCCTTTGTTTACTTTAGAATGAATCTTGATATATAGTCCTGGTACTATGTAAGCTAGAATACAAGACAATCCTCCTGCCTCAGCATCCTGAGTCTTACAACTACAAGCACAGTCCACCAGACCCAGCATCCCCAAGCTTCTGAACTATAAGCAATTTGATGTTTAAATGACTGTGCTCTTCCCTTTTTTTCCCCTTCCACTCCTTACTTGTTCTCAATGTAGAAATATGACTTCAAGGGTAACTGGGGGGACAGCATGGCTGAGTCCTTTCTTTCAACTGAAATGCAAAAGTTAATCTTTGCCAATGGGTATTCTGTTTTCTGCTATTTTCAGTCACCAACACTCATCACCATTGTCACCAACACAATCGTTCTACTATCCAAATTGCTTCTTGTTGCTCTGAGCTGTTTTCACCCACCCTCTTCCTGCTCCCCTATTGTATCAAGCAAAAAAAAAAAAAAAAAAAAAGACTGCTCTTAGCAGTACTTTCCCCTTCATGTTAAAAATGTTAAAACATTACTTAGATTTAGCTCTGATTTGTTTTGTTTATTTTCCTTTCTTCTTGTTTTGCTTATTTGAATTTTTGTTGCTTAGAAAAATTCAAAATATATTTTATTATGTACACCTTAATCATACTTCACATATATGTGCACAGATGTAGAAATTTATGTTACATAAAATATATATTATACCATATATGCCTCACCCCATTGGGAAGTGAGATAGATGATGTTCCACAATCTAGAATTATCACAAAAATTGGATAATAATAGTAATAATAATAAATAATGATAATGGTAATAACAATTACTTGATCACCACCACAGAGGAGATAGTAAATGTGAAACCACCTCAGGAGTTTTCATGGTAAGTTCCATGTAGGTCAGAGTAATTTGCTGATAAAATCTTAATGCCACCTCATTTTTTCTCATGGGATGCGCCATCTCTATGTATCTGAGATGAGAAACAGAGGCAGCTAGCAGGCCTAGTGCCATGATTTCAGAACCGTATTCTCCACCCAGGATCAAAGCTCTCGAACTCCATCTTTATAGCAAGCACTTCTCTGAGTCTGAACATGTCAGGACTGATGACAAGCACCTGTTCTCTTCAAGTCAGCCACTGGGGTGCTTAGAGGAAGCAGGTGCTACCCTTCAGTTTGCTTGAGTCATCTAAAGTACCCAGGTGTTTCCACTGGTGACTGTGACGCTTCAGCAGCCAACTCTGGGGACCCATCCTATACTTTAAAGACTGAAAAGCTCCATCACCAACCTCGCACCCTCCCCACACACACTCGAAGGAGAAAACTAGGGGAAAAATACCCTGGATGGCTAAAAATACATTCTGATCCATCTTTCAGCTGGCCGATCAGTTCTTGTTCCATTTGGGAATTAAAGCTGGGATCTTGCAGACATCCAGTCTACGCTGTAGCCAGCCCCAGAAGAAACTGAGAAAAGCGGTAGCGTTGTTCATTAGGAATTAATGCAGTGTAAGGAATTTTGAAAGTCATTTTATAGATGGCAAAAAAGAAAATACTCTAAGACGCACACTAGGATTCAGAAAGATTGTGGCACTCTCAGAGATCAGAGTCTGGTCGCTACAACCACCTGCAACTCCAGCGCCGGGGTTTCTGATGCCCTCTTCTAGATTCTGTGGCTACCCCCCTGCCCCAGGAATACACACATGTACATACCCTCACACAGACATACACCTAGACACATGAAGAATTTCTTAATCTTGGGCTTGACGCTTGAGAAGATACTTGGGCTGAGCCTAGTGGCACATGTCTATCTGCCCAAAACTTGGCAGGATGAGGCCATAAACATTCTGGGCTACCTTGGCTACATGGCAAGTCTAAGGCTAACCTGAGCTAGGTAGTAAGGCTGTATGTCAAAATAAAACTGTGAGAGAAAAAAAGAGAAAGAGATGGAGGGAGGAAGGGAAAGAGGAAGAAAGGGAGCGAGGAAGGGAAACCAGAAAAGATGCTTTGAAGTCACAGCCTCCACAAGCAGGCAGACAAAACCATTGAACAATGGCAAATGTTTTCATCCTACATTGAATAGTGGTACATTTGGAACTGGCTGAGGTGACTCAGTTGTTAAAGTGCTTGCTGCATGAGCAAAAAGACCTGAGTGATCAATTGCCCCTGGTGATGTGGCCTGGCTAGGCCAGGAGGAAGAGGATCCAGGCAATCCTGATGAGACTTGATAAGCTAAGGGCAGATGGCCTTCGCTTCAGTGGACTAGGAAAAGGGGATGGGGGAAGAAGGAGGGAGGGTGGGATGGGGAGCAGTTGAGGGAGGCGGCTTCAATTGAGATGTAGAACGAATAAATTGTATAAAATAAAACAGATTCTCGACACCTGTGTAAGAACAGCCAGACATGGAGGAATCCCAGCCCTTGTGGTGATAGGAAAGGGCAGATATGCGGGCCTTAAGTTCCACATGCATGTAAGCATGCTGAGCCCTATGGGACTAGACATGCATGTGGTGCATGTGCATACATGTAGACAAAACACCCACACATATCCAATAAAATCGTTTTAATGGAACTGTTTGTCTGAGTCAACACCAAACTCGCTGGAAGCTTGCATTGGCTTCCTCTCCTCAGAGGAAAGCCTCTGCATTCAGTGTGTCTCCTTCTCCTTTGATATTGCTTCTGTTCCAGTAGGCTCAGATGCCTGGTGGGCAGTGGAACCCCCACAGTACCCTGTTTATTTTCCTCATGGTCTGGAGCCATTTACAGTGGCTCAGTGCATTTGGTTGTCTCTGTCTCTTTGACAAGACCCTGTGAGCAAATAGCTCTCTGGTGAATGGTGTCTTCCATTGTTCCAGGTCTGTGAAACTCATCACTGCAGGGTCTCCACCAACCTTTGTTCCTCCTTCGTCTCCACTCAACTGAAATTCAGTATGTGTAAAACCTGTTCCAAAACGACTTAAAAGTTTTGGAATCTAGCATATAAGGAGCTTCCCTTTACCAATAAATCCTGTCTACTGTAACACTGTCTTATTCTGTAGCCATTATACATTCAAAACCTTATCATTCAACCCTTTTTTTTTGTATACCAAATATGAAAATTTAGTAACCGATAGCATTTTAACTCGATATATGGTTAAAAAAAAACTAAAAAAATGAAAGCCATTAAGTAGAAATATGCTTATGAAGCAGTAGAAGAAGAGTAAGAACCTCAATATAATAAATCATTGAAGAACAATGAATACCAGTGAATAGAAGAAATGAATTTTATCTGTTTGGTTTTAAAACATACATGTAAACATAACAGAGTTAACATCAATGTGTGTACTCCCCTATAATGATTCATTCCTCATGTAAGTACACAAGAAATTCTTAGAAAGCATAAAAGAATTTGCCTAGAAATGTCACACTTGCACTCATCAAGAGAAATAATTAAAAATACAGATAAGGTTTGCAGAGCATTGCTATAAATGTACAGTTTAGGGAAATGGTTAAATTTAAATACATTGCTCCTGAGTTTCATGCAGCCACTAAAATGATGTTTTATAAAAATAACTTACTGATGGAAGGGAAGGAAGACCACCCCTATCATTGGACTGGGGGAGGGGCATAGGAGAAGAAAGGGAGGGAGGGTGGAATTGGGATGGGGCTACAGCTGGGACAGAAAGTGAATAAACTGTAATTAATAAAAATAAAATAAAAAATAACTTTCTCTTGTAAAAAGATGTTTAAAATCTATTCCATAGTGAATATAGTCTCGAGGAAACAATACGGAGCAATGCAATTGCCTATGGCAAATGCACAGATGCACATATAAAAGAATGACAGGGATTTTATGGAATAGAAGATTATTTTTGCTTCCCTATATTTTATAATTTATCCTCAACAAATAATGTAATAACCACATAATAAACACAAAAATTGAAAATCAGCCAGGAAGCAGGAATGAGAAGTCAATCTAACTGTCTTTACATCACAGAAAACCAAATAGTGACGCTGATGTCTGGTTAACAAACAAAACAAAACCAGGTATCTGAAAATGCTTAATTATGTGAAACTTATTCTCCAGTACTTTACAGATGCATTTGCCTGGTAACAATCTGCTAATCACAAGCGGTAGCCACGTAGCCTTGAAAAGGCTCTGACAACCCATACTTGAGCTGTCATTCCGCCTGAATCGCACCTATGTCATGTTTTCTCTGCAATTTGAAACACAGACCCAGACACTGGTTCTCGGAAGCATTATCTGGAGGCTCCACTGGAGAGCTATAACTGGATCTGTGTAAATTTAATTTGGTCTTTGGTAGACCACTGAGTCAATACACATCACACACTGTCTCTGTGGAGCAGAGGAGGCTGTCCCCCAATGCCACACCATCACTGAAATGAAGAAGCCAGTCCCCTCTTAGGATAGTTGGTTGGCAATACCGTATCCAGGGGCTTCCCCTCCCCCCCACAATCTTTTATGTGGTTAACTCCCTTTACTTTTCATTCTCTTTTTCTAACTGGTAGGAGACACAGAAGCAGAAGCTTCAGCATTGAAAATAAAAATAGAGCGTCTGAAATATCACCTTTATAGATGGTGCCATCTACTTCTTTCACATAAACATAGAAATCCTGATCCTGAGAGCAGCAGGGAAATGCTCTGATGCCCTGCCTCCGAGCCCAGACCACTTGCCTCACCAACTCCCAGCTAAGGAAACATCCCGTTTGCTTTAGACATGAACAGCCAGCCACTGAGGGAACTTTTCAAAGAGAGGCTGTATACACACCTTGCATCTGGTAGCTGTACGGTGCCTGTCCAGGTTGAGGGGTACCAAAGCTTGTGCCGTAGCTGAGGAATCCAGTCTGTCCAGGTGACTGGGACTGTGACAATCCACCTTCTGTCTTGATGCCTGCCCACAATGCACCTAAATCAGTGAGTGATAGCTGATCTATCTGTTCATTTTCACAAGTTGGTAAAAACAGACAAGCACACATCCCACAACTGCCAAGTCACAAGTACTCCCCAACTCTTCCACTTGTAGTCGGATGCCATAAGCCACAAGTACAATATTTTTTAGCAAGTCTAGATTTAAACATTTTTCACATGATTCTCTTTGATTTGTCTGCATTCAGATTTCTAGAAAGTACAACTCTTGATGTACCATTTCCATAATTACTTTTGTTGTTTTACTAGAGTAGGTCACTCTATCATAGTCAGAGATAATCATAATGAAAGGTTGAACCCACAGTTCCACAGTCACTAAATCTCCTATTCCCTGAGAAGTGATGACTCAGTCCCCACCATGGCAATCTTTTCTCTCAACTTTGATGACATTTTCAAGTCAAAGAAAGCAACATAGAGTATAAAATGATAGAGGGGCTTTCTTCCCACTATATAGTGGCTCTCAACCTTCCTAATGCTGTGACCCTTTAAGATAGTTCTTCATGTTGTGGTGACCTCCAACCATAAAACTATTTCATAGTTACTTCATCACTTTAATTTTGCTACTGTTATGAATCAAAATGTAAAGACCCCACGACCTGGGGTCATGACCCCAGGTAGAGAACCACTGATCTAGGTCTTTCTGGAAAGGAAACTTTTGAATGTCAAAGAACTGAATTTCTAAAACAGCAGAGTGATTTATTAGCATGCGAAAGTGGCCAGTAGCACCCTTTTTATCTTTACTTATTTTCAAATACTCAAACGTAATTCTTCTACCTGGAAGCTAAGGTACATTTGACTTTATGTTATTATGTAAGTGCAAGTTTATGTTTTATGGGATTACAGAAAAAAATTTTATTTATAGACTTCAAATACTTCCCATAGCACCAGGCTGGCACACTTACTCCAGACTGTGAATTGGCAACACTGAGATAGCCACTGCTCTTAATTATAAATAAAGGCAGTCATAAAAATGAACAACTATTCCTAATTCCCAAAGAAGAAAGACAGAAACATTCTTGCCAAGAGAATTCACATTTTTTAATAATCTTGGTTTTTGCTGAAGATAAATTATATCTTTAGGATCTAGGATACACAGCAGTTTTGCTGCTTAGTTCCATTTTAGGGGAACTTCACTGGTACAATGAAGTTAGGTAATTATCCTGAGGCAGTGAAAGAATCTGACTTGGCTGGAAGAGGCTACTTTCATTTCTTGAGGATTTCTGAATGACCACAATGACCTTAACATTGAAAACTTAGAACAATCTTAACATGGAAAAACATATGTGATGTGTACAGGTAATTTTGGGTAAATGAACAACTCAAACATGTAAATGATGCTAGAAACACACCTTCCCTGCTAGAAACATACCAGACAGGTGGCTAGATAATTCTAGAAACTCCCTTTATTTCCATGGTGTCACCAGTAAGGACTTTCCCCCTTTTTTCTCCACTCAAGGGTGTCCTGATCTCCTTCCAGCACTAACTGGACCACCTGCTTTTACTTTGGTGGTTCCAGATGGGGGACTGCTGTTCTAAGAACAGAGCTGGAGAAGCAAGAAGAGGTAGAAAATACCAACAGCCACACCTACCTCCAGAATGTCTACTCTTGGGCAGGAAATCACTTTCCTGCATGCCTGAGAGCAGATGAGCCATAGGTCAAATCTAAGCTGCAATACTCTTTTTCTAGCCTATCTGCTATTCTCACTATGAAAATCTATGCCTATCTTTTTTCTTTTTCACAGTTCTATATAGAACTACTGGGGTCATGGGCTCTTAGAAAAAGTATTTTAAGATCATGCAGTCCTTGAATATCTGCAATGGAAAGTCTAACCCATGTGTTCTTCCCTCTACAATGCACTAAAGAGGACAATGCCACCATATTGCCAGTGGACAATAGACCCTCTCCGTCAGAAGCACTTGGAGCATCTCCTTGTAACCAAGGCTCAGAAAGAACAAAAAGGAGGGGAGAGGTCAAGAAAATGCTAAGGACTGACAATCATTCCCAGGAGACTGGTACCCAGGGAATGGCTAGGGTTGATGTCCTTTTCAGCGAGCCTCCTCCTCCATCTCCATCCTCCAGTAACACAAAAACAACTACATTTTCACTCTTCCACTTCTGCTCTCTGCTCTGATAGCAGGTTCATTCACTCATGATTTAGAGCTGAGGCTCTAGCTCCAAGCACAGAAACTGCAAAGGAGCAGCTTGAGCCCCACCATGGCTGAATGCGAAAAAGAATAAAAGAGAGCAACATGAAGATGGCCGTAGGGTAGTGATGGGGGGAACGTCCCCCTGGCAGCACAGATGCTTTGTATCCTATCTCCTGAGAAACCCATGGGCATGTCAAACAATTTCCTACCAACTCAGTTCTGAGCACATACACTGAACACTGCTGTGACCGCCTTTGCAGCATACAAGCTGAACAATGCAGACTGCAGGTCTTCCTTCAACTCCAGGGTATTTTAAAGGACTACTATGAAAAATTGATCCATTATCTTCTACAGCATAAAACTGAATAAAAGTTATAGAGATGAAAGGCAATTTTAGAAAGTCCATTTTAATGCTATTTCTAAAGCCTGCTTTAAAAAGGAAAAAAAAAAAAACACTGTGCAGGGTGACATTTAGTTCTGAGGTTTTTGGAATAAAACTACAGAAACTGGAGTTATATATAAGTTACACTTTATTTCCATGTATTTTAAAAGAAACCAATAGATGGCCAGAATATTTGAGGTCAGGAGACAGCACCACTGAGCAGAAGAAAGCTGTTTAGCTTCTAATGGGTAGTGAAATACTTTAACAGAACAGCAATGCTTTCAGTATATTGCTGGGAAGTACACAAAACAAAAAAATTGTACCAACCAAAGTCTAATGAAAGAGCTACCAAAATGTGCAAATGGTATCACCTACAAAAGAACCAATTCTTCTAGTCTTCTATGAATATCAAGTGCTTTTTCTTGATCCTTCTGTGGGTTTTTTTTTTCCTTAATAAAATACCCTGTATTAATATACTTCTTTTTGGTTTCATTGGTTGAAAAACTGCAATCACAACTCAATTGAAGAAAATGTATTTTGAAATCTGACATCTTTTATAGATAGAACTTCGGGATTTGGCTGGCTTTATTTTTAATTTACAGGGACTGACCCCATCACAACTGAGTTAAATTACACCAAGATAAAGATAATCTCCAGGTGGGAAGGAACAAATGGCATGTGAGCTTTGAATGCTTCCTGATCCACAGCTTTAAAGTGCGGTCCAGGAGGCGATATATAGATCACTTTTCCTAATGGGTGATAATGTTGAAATTTGATCATGTAACCACCCCCAGGTTTGGGGCAAGCAAGAGATTGTTGAATTCTGCGTGTACTTCCCTAATCATAGCTAGGCATCTGATAAACAGGAAATGGATCTTTACCCCAAAAGACTTCATTCATAGAAGTTTTATCACAAATATGCACAAAAAATACTTTGGATGCCAGAGTCAAGTGCTCAGATGCCAAATTCAGATATAAGCAGAAAGAACGGTAAGCAAGGGGCCTAAGACCCAGGCGACCTGTTCACCCCCTCTGACCTCAAGGTAAGAGGTCACTGTCCTCACAAAGCTCCCTAGCAAGAATAACTGAGAATTTAAAGCAAAACTGTGACAGTACTACTCTCAGACACACAGCAGAGGCCCACAAGAATACACCACAAAAAATAATGGCCCAGTGACTCACCATAGGAGGAAATTCCGTAGGGCTGTCCCGGCTGTGGGTACGTGGCATAGGCTGTGGCTTGTTGCATTCCTGTGGTAAACTGTGTTTGCCCATATGCAGCCATAGTTTGTGAGGAAGGGGTAGGGAGAATATGTGGGTATGGTCTGCTATTTGTCAGGAATGACAGAAAATAGAAAGCCCATGCATTAGATGGAAACATGCAAGGTAAAAATGAACATCTACATCACAAATTCCAGTTAAAGAGTGTTTCTTACAGTCAAACTTTCCACTAGCATCGACAAAGCAGTTCAAAGTACTCTAGTACTACCAGGTGGTACTTAACATAAATTTGCATATATAAGTATTTAATTAAGCCTCTACAAAATTCACTGCTACTTAAATTGACATGTAACGTGGGCACAGACGTGACTTGGAATAAGGTAAAGTCTACTCAGAAAAGTTATGTATATCGATTAAGAGAAAATACATCTTACTTGGAAGGATAAATCTGTGGTGGAGAGAATGGGTGAGCTGGTCTTGGACTAAAACTGCTGCTTCCGAGAGCTGAGGAAAAAGAGAACACAGTGATGTACAGGAACTCAGGGAGAGTACTCAGCATGCAAACAAACAAAGAGAAACAAACAAGACACTGGTATGTCATGACCTATGGCACTGCCATAGAAAATGGCAGGTATTTGACCTCTGTGATTTGTACACATGATTTCATATGGTCTTTCTAATGGGAAGTCAAAGGGCTAGAGAGCTGGCTCATCAGATAAGAGCACTGCCTCTGCTCTTCCGGGTTTCATCCCCAGCACCCACCCACATGTCCCCTAACCTCAGGTCTAGGGGATCCCATGCCTTCTCACGGCCTCCTCAGGCAACGCATACCATGGTAGACAGACACATACACATACACACAAAATAAAGACAAACCTTAAAAAAATGAGACACAAAAGTGCTGATTGTTTCTGATTTTAAATATACTTTAAAAAAAAATGAAGATATAGCCCTAAATACTTGTCAACATGTTTGATGGTCTCCCTCAAGAAAGCCAGGCTTAATTGGATGTAGGAGGCTGAAAGTCCTCTGCCCATTGTCTATATGCTTCAGGAACACACAAAAACCTTGGCATGTAGTAGCACGAAGCATGGTCTAATCTCTCTGTGTATGGAAATAGGAGCGAGCCACATTTGCCTGTGTTGATTTAACCATGTCGTTAAGTAAAACTGCATTCCTACAGCTATCTTGAATGTGTCAGGTTGCAGACCCAGCCTGTTCATTCTTGGTCTGCTCTGTGTGTTTCTGTTCTATTAGCTGTATGTATTCAAATTGCATGCTCAAGCAAACAGTCTTTTTTTTTTCCTTAAAGAAGCAATCAGTATTCAAGGCAAGCTTAATTTCTCTTAATCAGGTTTTCTTGGCTCTAGATGTTTCAGAAACTCACAAGGCATCTCGCAAATGTTCTTTGACTCTCATTCAAACTGTAAAAAGCAAAAACCCATTTCCAATAGTATAAGGGTTTAAAAAGTTGGCTTTTGCTAAAAATAGGACAACTTACCTACACATGAAAATATGCGTTTATTTGTGAATACATATTTTTCCCTTCAAACTTCCCAGCCTCCCCCTGACTAGAATGCATTGTGTTTTTGGTGCAATTCCTATAAAATGCAATATGGTTGCTTTGTTCTTCCGTTGATCATCACTGTCTTCAGAGGCTCTCTTGCATGTTAGCTTATTCCACCCATACTCTCATACTCTCATCAAAAACCCACGTACTCCCAGTCATGTGTTTTCTCATTAGTCACATGGTGCATTTATGGGTGTTACACTTCATTCCCAATGGGTGCTTGGGAGAAATTGGGAGATTTTGATTAGACTCTCAGAAGAGATGAGCTCTCTTTCTCCACTCAAACAAATGAGACATAATCCAGGGACAACAAACAGGTCTGGGTACATTCTAGCCTTGCAAGCTGCCAGATTTCCATCCCTGGTGTCACTGTGAGAAGGGACTGAATCCACAGGAAAGAAATGGCAGGACAACCTGGTACACGTCCCCCTAGCTTTGGGCACTTACTGAATACCTACTTGGTGCCAAGCCCCTTGCTGGATGTTGCGGGAGCAATCATAGAAAGACAAACTCTGTCCTCCCTGGGGGGAGACTCGTGAAATGCTTCAGTTTCTAGAAGGGAGGGATGGGTTACCATCCAGTAAAGACTATCGGGGCTGCCTGACACTTGTCCAGGCCACTTGAAGAGACGAGTTCTTCCACTGCCCTTCTCTAAGCATAAAAGGAGGCCAAGGGTAAGGTAGATGGTGTCTGCAGGTTGCTGGAAAGAGTTACCTCCTTTGGACAATCAGAATTAAAAACAATTCGTTAGAAAGAGAATGCCACAATGCCACCTGATGATGGGAGCCAGAGATATCCACTTGATTCTTTTCTAGCTCTAGATCTGTTTTCCACTCCTGGGTCACACAATTCTTGAAAAGGTTATCATCTCAGCAACTTGCACCCAGCAGTGTTTTTTACTAAGAAAACACCGGGAGACATTAGCACATAGTAAGTCTGTGGAACTTGTGCTCAAAATACATGCACTGCATGTGTGTGTACACATGAAAGTAATGAGAACTTGGGGACTCAGGGTATGGAAACTGAGTACAGAACCTGAATCAGCATTTAACTTCAGCTCAAATTCAAATCCCAAATCTCAGACGTGAGCCCAAGTCATTTTACTCCCAGCTTTCACATAAAAATGGCAACAATGCTTGCTTCTAGCTAGACCTCATTGGAGCCTCGAAAAGACTAAGTGAGATAATTCCCAGGAAGTCATTCATGCAGTGTTTGTATTCATAAATGATTTTCTCTGATTCTTGCCATTGCTGCCCCTAACCTTGCCCTTCTGTCTACATTTACATGGTATGAACATGTACACATGTGCATGTATAGACAGGTGCATGCTTGTGTAGGTGTGTGTGGAGGCAAAGGACAGAGGCTAACTTTGGGTATCCTTCCTCAGGCAGAGTCTCTGGTGTGCTGCTTAGGCTGACTGGCCAGTGAGTCCCAGGGATCAATTTAACTCCATCTCTCCTGGACTAAGATTACAAGCAAAGGCCACAATGACTGGATTTTTTTTTTTTTAATGTAGTTTGTAGGCTCAAACTTAAGTCTTCATTCTCACACACAAGTACCGAGTGAGCTATCTTCCCCCAGCCTCTCTTCTGCTTCCTAAATTCTCCTCAGTAAGCATCATCACCAGCTGTCCAGGAAATGCTAGAACTTTTGACTCATGGTTTACACATGAGGTACGCAGGACAGACAGAAGTAACATCTTTGAAGACAGAGGAGTAGAGACACAAACACACTGGCCTTTGAACTCATCTCCTATAGTCTCTTTCCATCAAAGCACACATTCCTCTCCCATCCTCTACAGAAACTAGAAGCCTCAGTCACCACGTCAGGTCCTCCTTCCGTTCACCCATGTCAAATCTTAAGACAGCCTGCTGATCTAGCCATGACCCTCACCCTCACACCCATCTTTCATCCAGGACTCAAGCCCTGCCTCCCGACCTCCTCATGTCACACTGAGATGACTGCAGTGGCCATGTGGACACTTGCCTTACCACCATCACGCTCTACCCTCGCTTCCTACTGCCACCACAGAGACCTTGCTTCAGTGAAGCCACTCTACACCCATCCTGTTGCCCACAGTCTTGTAGCCACTTAAGTTATTCAAGGAATACCTGTCAAATTCCTTGGCAAAGGATGCAAGGAGACTGAGGCTTCCCTAACCTCCTGCCTCTGGTGTAAGGCAACCCTCCTGGACTTCAGGACTCCTGTACCCATCATCTGCTTCAGGTTTGTCCCGGATGGTCTTCAAGGTGGACCCCCTGCCTTAGAAAGCCCTTTTTTCCTCTATTCGACAAACCTACCACCACAGGGACCAAACTGTCACCTTTCTTCAGGATACTATCTTCTTTCTCTGTCCTTTCTTGGAGCACTGCGTCTATCTGCAAAGCACCTCCACGTGCACTGCATTCTGCTTAGCGTGATTTCGTGTGCAGCTCTGACTTTTCCTCTGAAAACTATGATCTTGAGGGGCTGGGGACCCCTCATGCCTGTTTCCTCTGCTCCCGATACGATCTAGCACATGATAAACAACCAATAAGTAATACTTAGGTAATAAGGATGCGATCGTAACCCTGTGAAATATCTCAGTGGGTAAAATGGGATTGCAAAACCTGAGGGCCTGAGTTCGGTCCCTGAGATCCACATGATGGAGGAAGGATGACCCCAAAAAGTTGTCTCTGACCTTCATATGCACACATGGCACAAGTGTGACCACATACAAAAATACATGCGAACACACCCTTACACACAAAGTATCAAAAGTAAAATGAAACTGGGGTTATAAGCAAAGGTGGGTTTTTAAAAACCGAACTGAAAGATGGATCTGCTATTCCAGGCTGTACAAAAGGAGCCTGGTGTGGATTTTTTGTGCTGTAAATTGGAGAAAACAGTATCTTCTACAGTGTTCTTCACAGTGAAGAACCATGAAGACTTGCTGTTATTCCTCTAATCGAATGCACCGAAAATTTCTACATATTTCCGACCATCATAAGCAGCTCAAGAGAAGACTCCAAAGTCTTCTGTGCTTAGTCCACTCCTGGTTATCCCTGGCAACATAGCCCCACCAGCCAGGCCGGAGCACAGATGTGACTTCACTCTGTCCTCCATGCTCACATACTCTTTAATCACCAGGGCCATCAGCTCCCTTTTCGAATCCTTCAAAATACCCAAATCTGACAGCTTCTCACTTCCGCTCCTTTATTGCGCTGCTCTGACCCACCACACAGTAATAAAAGCAGGCGCCTCCCGTGTCTCTGCTGAAAGGAAGTAACCCAGCAAAGAGTATGCAGTCAAGTTCTGAAATCCATCTTTATAGATACGAGGATGCCCGATTCGAGGGCTTATCCTGGCCAGTGACATGTTTTGAGGGCTTATCCTGGCCACTGATAACACCCATGATGGATGGCAGGTCTGGGGGAGCTGTGAGTCACTCAACCGCCTTGTTGAAATGTATAGACTAGTAGACAACCTAATCAGTTCTAGATAGCCTATCTTTTTCTCCCCCACCATTTTCTTCTAACAAGATCCTGGCCCATGATTCCTGACCCATTGGCTCCTCTGGGAAGATGTGAGAAGCCAGTCAATTTTCTTTTGAACCAGGAAAATGCTGAACTCCTGATTCAAACCATGTCCCCATAAAGCCCTTTCCATGCAGTGATGTGTACATGCATGTATGTGTGCCTTCATCTAATTGCACACAGTTATGTGAGGAAGCTAGAGGCCAACATCAGGGTTTCCCCAAGCCTTCACCACCCGATTTTTTTGAGTTTTACATGGGAACAGGAAATCTAATTCATGTTCTCAAACTTCTGGGACAAGGACTTTTCTGCTGGCTTATTTCCTCAGCCCCAAACAATGACTCCTTAAACATGAAAATCCGATCATGCAAAAACCGGAAGTACCAATATGTCCAAGCTCCCTAACCAAAAATCATTCCTTCATTCATCAGCCTATGCTCAGATGACCCCTCCAAAAACCACCCTCCCTCTAAAAACAAACCTCAACCACACTTTTACTGTTCTTTGAGCACCTTTCATTTGCTTCAAAAGCAGACCATTAAACTTACATCTTTTTATAATGAGTTAATAAGGAAGCCATACTTGTCATTCATGAGGGTTTCCTCCTCACAATGCACCTTAGTTTCTATTTTGTGATGCCACCTGACAGTGTAGGCTTGATGCCAAAATGGATGCTTAACTAACAACTACCAACAAGTTTAGATTTGGGGGAACTGGCAGGTGAGTTAAAAGCCTTACAAACACATTGTTTAGAATCGAGATGGTCCTTCAAAATTCAAATCACTAAAATAAGAATGTAAGGGATGGAATGAGAGCTAGCAGTGCTCGGTGGCAAGCCTAAAGACTTCATTTTGACCCCTGGGACCTCCATGGTGGACAGAGAGAATTTATTCTTGATTGTCTTCTGGCGTCTATACCATGGCATGAGTGTGTGTGTGTGCGCGCGCACGCACACACACACACACACACACAAATGAGCTACCATCACAGTGGTTTGAAAACACAATAAACAATGATGCAGTTTTCAAGCCTACCCCATGCCTCTACAAATGGAGCAGTCTCCTTTAGGGTCCCCACACTGAGAGTAGGAGGGGAAACCCTAAAGGACTCCCTCATGAGACAAAGATGATGCTGGCACCACCAGAGTGGCCCTGTACCTTCTTCTCTTTCTTGAGTGTTTTCTAAGAGAATGAAAGAACTTTGTTTCTACCGCATTCTGCTTCTTACGTCTTCTCCCCACTCCCCAGATCAGCCGCTTCTTTCCTTTTTTCCCTCATGTAGCGATGCTGCAGAAAATAAGATCTTTTCTAGATTAAACAATGTATTCCTCCAACTATACTTAAGTTCTATTCTAGGGACTTGCTTTTCCTACGTATCTTTTCAAAGTAGCCACTTTCAACTAGCTTAAATTCAAGGTACTACAAATACCACAGTCAGCTGCTTATCAAAGCATTTGTTTGCTACTCTTCTGAAAAACCTTTCATTCCTTGAGGCTCAATAAAAGCTCTTCAACATCCCTGTGATGGCTATCCCCTAGTGACTACTACTTCCCTTGCAGTGGGAAGATGTCTTCGTATTTGGCAGGATCTCCCAACAGGTCCCAATATAATTATCCTGGAACTTTTTTCTGTCCTGATCTCCACTCTGGTCCAAGACCATAGTCCAAGCTTTTTATTTCTCCATTTCACATCTCAAACCACAAGAATGTTGGCCATTTCATTCCTTCATTTAGGCAACATGTATCAGCTACCTCTTAATGCACTCGATATGCTCATATCTACTGGCAGTGTAAGTATGGATAATACCAAGAAACTCTGTTCTCACAGGGCTACACCAGAAACAAGAAGGCAGATAATGGAAAATGATTTCAGAAGCAGTGATGAAGGCTAAGCACGGAAGTCCCGAGAACTAACTGTAGAACTGTGTGGTGGGGTCTCACTGATGTGGAGATTAGGAGGAGACTATTAGACTATTCTTTCCAGCATTTCCAGCTGCCTGTTGTCATTTTATATCTCTTCCAATGCCATCATGAGATGCAGGATTCCTGACGCCGTTGTCTCCTGTCAAGTTATTATTGGGTTGTATTTTCTCTGTTGAGACAGCGGGAGGCATGAGAAATTAGTGTATACTAGTATTCCCTGTAAATACTCTCAGTTCTGCCAAGTTCTTAACTCTGGATCAAACCAACTGTCTTTCCACCTCGGATGCTAAGCCTTAAAGCCTTCCTAACATTGCAACCCTTCAATACAGTTCCTCAAGTTGTAATTTTGCTACTGTAAGAAATCACAATGTGATTGTCTGACATGAAGAATATCTGATATGTGAGCCTCAAAGGGGTCATGACCCCAAAGGGGTTGAGAACTATTGCTTTAATGGGAAAGCTCACCTGGTAGGCACATATTCCAAGTTCAAGAGCTCTGGCTTTGTTTGGACCTTTGACTGCACTGTCTACCCTCTTTGAAGTGTGTAAGCAGTCTCCCCATGCTTTCCTATCCTCCACAGCATCTCCTCAGTCTCAAACAACTCTGCAAATTCACAAGCATCGCTAACCTTCACTTTGAGACACTTCAGAGGCAAACACAGAAAGCCGAATTCACTACTCACTCATTCACTTACCACTGTTACTTCACTGAGCAAAGGTGAAGCAAAGGTGGCTGCCATAGGTGTCAAGAATACAAAGGTAACAAGAGACAGAATCCCTTCAAATTCTGTTACCCCTGTAGTCCATGCTGTTTAACTTGCACTTTAAAAGTACTGCTTTTTGAATCAGTAAGTGCTACCCATATGCCCAATAAAAAGACTTTGGGAAATAGACAACAGCAGAAAAAAAAATCAAAATTTATCTCACTACCCAGACTGAAACACCATTTTTCTGTGCCCATACATATAAAAACATATTCACATAAATAAATTTCCTGTCTTTAAAAAATAAAAGTGATGACACTAAAGCTATTACTATTTTATTTTTACTTTTTATTATTTTATTTAACTTTGGTTTTGTGAAATGATGTTTCTCTTGGTAGCCCTGGATTACCTGGAACTCACTCTGTAGACCAGGCCAGTCTTAAACTCAGACCTCTGCCTAATTCTGCCTCTGAGTGTTAGGACTAAAGCTGTACATCATCACAGGTTTCCAGGACCATATTCTTATATAACCCATCCTTTCATTTCATAAAACCAAGATATTTTTTTTCAGGTCATTATTTTTTGTTGTTGTTTGTTTTGGCTTTTTTGGTTTGTTTAGGGTGTATGTATGTGTCTACACATATGTTGTACTTAAGTATCTATGCCTATATGTACATACACACATGTAAATATGTGTGTTTAAATGAATCTGCCACATAGACAGTGTTGCTTTTAAATTCTTCTCTGCTTTCACTTCTCGTTCAGTATCTGTGCCTCATCTCCATTGTCATGGGATTACCTATCATACACACACACACACACACACACACACACACACACACATAAATGGGTGTGGTCTTGGCTTCCCTGTTCAACCTTAATAAATTTAATTAACTTTACTACTCTGTATACTTCCAAACTTCACATCTGCAAACTATCTGAGCACTAACGATTAATATATCTGGTATCTTCAGGTAACTCACACCTTTTATTCAACATGCCCTGAACTGAGGGGTCAGACATGCTCCATTTACGCCTGGCTCGTCTTCTGTCTTGTTTGACTGACCCAGTGGCCATTGGTCATGGATGACTTCCACTCTACTTCATAAATGTATAAAGTCCCTCATTTTCCCATCCCATTGCCAGAATAAGTCTTCAATGTTTCATAATTAAATTAATCAAAAACTTTAAAAACTGCACTTGAATTCAGGTGTCTCCAAATACATAGATTACCCAGCACTCATGACTGTGAATAACGAACATAGGTGTCAGCCTCTGCTTTGGTGCTTCCATTGCTAAAATAAGGCAGGCAGAGCATGCTGGTCTCCTTGTTCTCTGAAACCACCCCTCTGTGGCACACCCATATTGCTCACACATTACCCATTGGGAATGTCAGACCATTTTCAGTTCCAACAGTTCCATGCCCTCTGAGCTATAGTCTCCTCCCAGGGGTAGCCAATTGGTCAGTGTCCTCATCCATGGTTATGTGTGCACCGTGTTGCTACTTGTTTTCTAAATGTGAGTGTAGACATCTAGTCTGTGATGCCTTTCCTAATGGTCTCCCTCGGCCTCATCTCTTCCAGATCCCTGCCTGGGTGCTCTTGCAATCTTGGGGCTTCCCTCTGCTATTGTTAAACTACTGGCATGATTTTCCATTTGTCCATCCCATTAAGCTCTGAATTGGGACCATTTTCAAACACCTATGAATTTATAATAGCAGAAAGCACACTGCCTGGGATGAGTCAAATCCCATGACAAGTTTTGTGAAAAAAGAAACTGACATTATATGCTTTGTTATTTTCTTACTATTCCCATCTAATATCAGGAATACCAAAACATGCATATAGACTTAATTTTATTACTTCATATAATTTCTTTCCATTGTGGTATGTTGTAAATATGTGATTTTAAGAACAAGTTCTTCAATCATAACTCTATGAAGGCACAGCACTTCTTAAATGCAGATCTTAAAAACAAAGCAGACAATACAATAAGGACATACAATTTAAGAGCTGCCTTTGGTAGAAATCATTTTTCAATAAAATAAGCTGCTCTGAGTGTCTTGGCAAGCATGTGGCAAGGGTATCCCAGGAAGTCACTGCCACCATAAATTCTGAGGAGTGTTTTCATTGTGACAGACATGAAATGTGTGTACTGTTTATTAACGTGAGAGCGATGAAAACCTAAGAATGTAACATTGCTTCACAGAGTCAGCCCAACAGAGATCTTGTTCAGAAGAGAGTCAAGTCTGAGGGTACTTAGTCTGCTTGGGATGTTTTGAAGTCAAATTTTGCCCATGCAAATCTGCATGATCAGGTTTGTATCAAAATTGATACAAATACATGGAGAAGCATCATTCACATATAAAGGTAATTTAGTTGAAGAACAAAGAACAAGTCCTTTTCTCTTCTTCTTTGGAAACCTATGTTATTCACAAACACTTCTAAGGGAATACAAACACTGGGCTTGTTCATCTGTGATTTGGAGAAGAGTCGCCTTTTGCATCTGTATCTGTGAATGCTCACACACTTCCACAAACACATATACTTGTATAATAAACTAGGAATACAGTGCTTAGTGGGAACGGGAATATCTAATTTTTGTTCCTTACCTGAACCTGAGAAACTGTCTAAAGACCCGTCTGCTGCTGTTGAAGCTATTTCACTGCTGCTCATTGGCTCTGTTTTAACTACAAAAGTAAACACACATTATATATTGAATTAGTAGTCATTTGTAAAGGTATGGGAGAAAATATATAACATTCAAAATAATGATAAGAAATCATTTCATATGATATCTTTTCACTTGAATGTAAATCAGGCTTTCTTACTAGACTCTCTTTTTAAAAATTCACGTATTAAATTTCTTTTCTTTAAGAATGGCCATTCAGTTTCAAAGTACCTTTTAGGATAGTATTTCCAACCTTCCTGATTCTACCACCCTTTAATACAGTTCCTCATCTTAGGATGATCCCCAACCATAAAAATATTTAATTGCTACTTCATAAGTATAACTTTGCGACTGTGATGAATTGTAATGTAAATAGCTGATATGCAGGATATCTAATATGAAACCCTTGTTGGGGATTGCAACCCACAGGTTGAGAACCAGCCCTTTAAAGGAAGACTCTCAAAACAAATTAAATTTGTTTTTACAGTATACACCTACTAATTTGCTTATTAGTAAAACTATCACTTACAATTTACATAATATACAATGTGAAATTACTTCTTGGTGTTTGTGTAAAGACTGTTGTTTAGCCAAGCAATCAGAAGAAAAACTTTAAAAGGGTTTGAAGACATAGGGAATAAGTGGCCATCCTTAAGCCCACAGGTTGTTTGGTGATTAAGAACAGGTATGTACATATTACACACACACACACACACACACACACACACACACGCACGCACACCACACACACTTCCTTAAATATCCAGTATGGTTCAGACACAACCTCAGGTTAATAAAAGTCTTATCACCATGGTATTTATATGGCTATTTTATCAATGTTGTTTTTCACTATGAAGAAAAAAAAGGAATTCTCCCATTTTGACATAATATTGATAGAAGACAGTGTGAAACAAAAAAATAGAATATATATATATATTCTATATACATACACATAGATATACATATCTATTTGTCCCTATCTCTATATTTAATTTTTTTCAAAGCTCCTAGCATTGAGAAATAACATTTCTCAATTTCAACTATAGAATGTCCACAAAAGCCACTCCTAACAGAATGACAGAATCATTGTAAACCACCAAACAGAGCCACACTGTTTCAGAACTCAGAGCATCTGTTTTTCTCCTCCCTAATTTTAGAATCCCTTTTTTGATGTGCCATCACTGGACTGCTCCTAACCTACGTGTGAAAGTGACTTACGTTCTTATTTCAAATGCACTTTCAACCTGAAAGTCTATGTTCCCTGAAGCAAAGGTTCTAATCAGAGAGCATTCAGGGAGGGAGGCTTCTTCCTCAAAGTAAAAACATTCTACGATGGGAGAATATGCTGGAGAAAACAACTCTTCTGTCTCAGAATGTCACCAATCTCTCCAAAACACAAGGCCCAGTAATCATTCCGCTCAGCTCCTGGTCCTAAGCATCTTACCCACAGATGATGAGCAGTTTTCACATGAGCATTATAAATAGATGGATCAGATAGCCATTTTCAAAAAAAAAATTAATTACATAGATGGTTTCTAAACAAAGTTGGGAGGGAAAAAAAGCAGCGAGACTAATGGAAATCATTCTGCTTGATTGTTTTCATGTAGACCACACAACAGTGAGATTCAAGTTCTGACTCAAGTTTTCACTTTTCTGCCAGTTGTTTTGGGTTAGAAGTCTTAGTTGATGCTAATGCATTCTGACAGAAGGCTGCCGTTCCCTTCTCCCCCCATGCCACCAGCCACCTAATGTTCTTGCTCTTCCTAACCATGACATTGCCACAGCTCTAGCCAACAGTAACTACAAGGGGGTGGGAGGTTCCTGCTCATGATGTCCACATTATATTTCATGTTCCTTTAAAGACTTGACACAATGCCCTCATCAAATCAAGCAATCTCAAGTGTTCTAGTCCACTTTCTAGACAGATCACCAATAGGAGGCTGAACTCCAAATCATATACCACATGCTGTGCAAAAGGGTAGAATGAGCTAAAAAGAAAACTGACTATGTAAAATACCTACTATGGGTCATCTTTTCCACAGATGTTATCATCATTATAGGAAACTTTGCAAGGATGAGTCCTTCGTCAGACATCACCTCCTTGTCTCTCTCACATGTAAAAACTGAAATCAGAGGCCACAAAGTGTCCAAAATGGGATTTAATTTGGGGAGTTCCTTTACTCAGAGGTCCATGAGCAAAGCTTGATGAAACAATAATAAGTTAAGTAGCACTCTGCAAAAGTTAGAGCTGGAAGAAGGCAGTAGGGGCTCAGTGTCACAAGCTCTGGGGTTTGATTAGAAAGTAGGACCTTGCCAGTTCCCTCCCTCGGTGCTTCCAGGCTAGCAAGTTTACTGGATGATCTCAAGTAGAAATTTCCTTGCCCAGATGTCAAGAAAAGATGATGAACTCTTCCATTGCCTAGGCTGTTGGTCCAAGTTGCTTCTAAGTCTGCCAAATCTAAGGTCAATGGTCCTATAGCTTGAACTATACAGTTACTCTGAGAAAGTTGGCCTATAACAAAACCCCTTCTATCTCTGGTCCCCTGAAATCTACATCTCTGCATGATAAAGCTCAATCAAGTGCAACCCCTACTCCCACCAGGAACTTCAATTGTTCTTGAAATCCATTAAAACTAGGCAAAAAAAGAAAGGAAGGGAAAACGATACTTTTCTTTTAGGTCCCAAGATCATTGCCTTTTGCCGTTGTTCAAATACAGCCATCTATATACTAAGAACTAAAGAGTCCGACTGAATCCAGTTTCTAAAAAGGCTCTCTGTTGAATGGGAGATGATGTCCGCAGAGTAACTACCAGGATGTGTGCGATTGTATCAGTCCTGTAATCGGATGCTTTGATCAACAGAGGCCTAATGACTTATTGCGATGTAAGATATTCTCTAAGGAGCTGGGGAGACAGTTCGGTGGATAATTGGCTTGCTGTGTAGGCACGAATACCTGAGTTCATAGCTCCAGAATTCACCTAAACTAGGCATGACAGCACACGCTGGTAACCTCAGTGCTGGAGGGAGAATGCAGACAGGGGCTCCCTAAAACCAGACAGTCTAGCCTACACAGGGAGCTTCCAGTTTAATGAGAGACCCTGTCTCGAAAAGTAAAGGTGGAAAGTGATACAGAAAGCTACCCCGTATTGATCTTTGGTCTACACAGGCATGCACGTGGGTGTGTAAGCAAAAAACTTGCTCTCAAAAACAAAAACAAACAAACAAAAAAAACTAATTATTTCTGGCTTTCTTTGTTATGGCCAGTTATACAATGACTGAAGAGTTGAAGAGACAAGAGCATTTGTGCCCACTGGAGTCTTCCCCACTCCATCTTACCTGAATGGTCACGTGATTTTGGATACCTCAGTTTTCCCATCTGCTGCTGGGTAGTGTATGCTCAGATAAGAATTTTTAAAAAGATAAAGATTATAACCATCCCAGCAATGTGCTAGGCCCAGAGGCCATGCTTTTATAATTACCTGTGGCACTGCCACAGCTGAAGGAAACCCAACAGTAACTGCAAGGGGGTTTCTCTATAAGCATGAGGAAGCAAACTATTTCTATTTTCCCCCTGGTTGAATAGCATGCTAGGAAAAAGACTCTGCAACTGAACTACATCCCTGGCTCCAAAAGCATTTTTTTTTTTAAGGTACAGATAAAAATGTTGAAAATCTATCAAAAACCCCACATTAAATAAAGTCAAGCTTATGCTTCCAAAAAAAAAAAAAGAGGATCTAAAGGAAAAAATCAGCCATTGAGGTCTTCCCTAAGGAAAGTCAAAATCAAATTCAGCAAGGTGTCTTGGGAATAACTCAAGAAGGCAGGACTAAATCGTAATTACTTTAAGAAAACCAGGACCTTGTCCATTATTACCATCAGCAAATGCTTTTTCTGAGGAAGCAGGCCAGCAGGAGAAAGATGGGACACGGGCTAGGAGTGGTCAGCAATTTTAGAATAAATGTGGAAACTCTAGCATTCTTTATAGCAAGCTGACCGATGAGAACAAGAAACCTTCTTTGTGTACTGTAAGCGGAGACTCAACTATAAGACCACTGCAGCATGGTGAGCTGTGTCCATCAGCCAACTAGTCCCCTGCACTGTAATTCCACGTTCATCAACTTCTGGATGGCGTTTGGAGTGTTATGGTCATGAAAACACATCTCCAAACTTACAGGGCAATCGAGAAGTGCTCAATCCATTTGATGAGTGCTCATTCTCCCATATATCAAAAAAAACAAAAACAACCTGCAAAACAAGTTCAGTCCCAAATGGAAACTCTGCTTGCTAGATTGAGAGCCAGCCTGTGCTATGATGAATCTGTGCAGAAAAGCCAATGGACATGGAATAGCAGCAGGTTGGGTGAGCATCAATTCCGTCCCCTTTCTCCGTGGTTCCTTCTTCCCTTAATTACATTCATTCTAGTTTGACTATGAGGTGATCCAGCTACACCATGCCCTAAAACCGCATCGCCTCCGAGAAACGTCCCATTTTCCTCATTTGCTCACTTCCACCAGACTCATAGCACTCATGAGAACAGCTGTCTTCCCAACCCCCTGCCTGACTCCCCCTCCAGCTTCATCAGCCTTACGTGGCTAGTGGGGAACCCACGGCCTGCCATGTCTAGTCTCCACTCTGGGTGCTGTGTGGCCTCATGTTCTCAAAGGAAGCTTTGTCAAACTCTAATCACAGGATGGGCAACTTCTCACTCTTCGGCCAGCTGCACCGTCCAGTGAGCATGCTAGCACAGGCCCAGTTAACTTGGTGATAGATTCCACTTAAACAGAGCCTTTTCTTTTTTTACAGTCCCTTGATCTATCCCATAGTGGAACAGTCTCTGTTTCCATGTCTTGTCAAGTGTCTGAAACATCTTCATTGAATCTTTCCCACCTTCTTCAGTCTCCAAATGGTACCTTGTTCCCCACCCGCCTGTCCTCAGCAAATGTTGTTCACAGAATACTGAAGCTGCGTTACGTTACATTTTTTCCTCCTCCTGCAACATGTCCACTGATTAACTTCAGC